TATCTGTGTTAGCCATGAGAACTATATGTGTGCCTTGTCCTAAGGGACTATGTTCTCCCTAACACCTGTCTCAAAAAAAACATTCCCTCCCAGTGAGCTCTGAAGGGGAGAATAAACATCTCACCCTAGGAGATGAGAAAGTTTTACTTGACAGGTGAGTGTGGGGAGACCGAGTGATAGGCAGGGACACACCCAGACTTCAGAGACCAAACAGTGGGAACCACAGATAGGTCACATGGACTTGACCCCACAGGGATGCAGACCCTGTGACTCCTACACCTCCCTCAGTTTCTTACCATCTTCGACTCCTCTGGCCTCTGCACCTTCCCCAACAAATCCACACAGGTTTCCATGATCCCTCCCTCCAACTCTTTATGCCCTTACACAGTCCAGGGCAAGAGAGTGGCGGGCTGGGGGGGGGGCCACGTTCTGTAAAACACTCACCCTGAGCTGCGGCCACCTCCTGGAGGGAGAACATCATCTCTGTAAAGGCATCATGCAGGTGACTCCTCTCATCGTAGTCTGAGGGTGGACGAGATGCAGGCTGAGGCATGGTGGACACCCGGTGCTCCTGTACTTCCTATGTCTGACTCATGAGAACAAGTGACCATCCCCCACCCCCACCCCAGGGGCTCTGTGCCCTCTCTGGAGAGAGGACACTTTCTCTCTGTGGGGTTCAGTCTCCACCCCTAACCCCCAATATGGGTGTCTGTCTCTCCCTCTCTCTCATCCTCAGTCTCTCACACCACCCTGGACCTGTTACTCTCTCTATTATAACATCATCAGTTTCTTATGTCTCTGGATCTCTCTCTCTCTCCCTCTCTCTCTCTCTCTCTCTCTGTCCCTGCCCCCTCCCTCAGTTTCTCCTTCACTCTGGGTCTCTTTCTATCTTCAGGTTTCTGTCCCTTGGTACCTGTCTGTCTCTGGATTCCCTAAGTCTCTGCTCACCCCATTCATCCGTTTCCAGTCCATATCCTCCTCTCTCCCAGCAATGCTCCTTCTCCTTTTTGTCTCTTTCTTGTAATTCTGTCAAGGCCTTCAGGATCCTTAGCCTCTCTCTGAGGCACTGTCTCTAATCTCTGTCTCCACTCCTCTCTGAATGTATTTCCTTCCATCCTCACCACCCATCTCTCCTCCCTGGTCTCTGCCCTGATCCTGCACTCAGCTTTCCTTCGCGGAGTCGCTCAAGGACTCTCCTGCCCCTCCCCGGGGCCCTGGTTCGGGGACGAGGGTCTCCTCACTGATTTCCGTGTCTGAGAGCCCCTGAAAGGCATCTGTGAGCGCATCTTTACACTGGCCCAGCTTGGGGCCAGTGTTCACAAACGTCTGGCAGACACGGAGGCGTTCCTCATAGGTGGTGAAGCAGGAGAGACATGCCCACGTGGATGCCCTGAAGATCAGCGGGAACAACAGAATGATGCTCCCCACTAGGGCAACAAGGGCCATCACAGAGGGTCTCTGGGTCTGAGGAGAAGCTTAGTAAACAGTTTGAGGTCACTGTGGGGGAGGGGGGAGCTGTGGCCTAAGAACAAAGACTGTCTTTCAGCTGGTTGTCAAGTGTCAGGCTCAGTTGTCAGGGGTCACCTCCAATCCCTAAATTTGTGGCTGGGCC